CCCTGCTCCCTCCCCCCCGGCACTACCCTTCCATCTCCCGTTCCTCCCCACCATCCCCCCGATACCCCCCGTTCCCTCCTCTGTCCCCCCGTTCCCTCCTCTATCCCCCGCTTCTGCCTCCATCCCCCCAATTCCCTCCTCTTGACCTCAATTGCTTCAGTCTATTCCTCCCCACTTTGGGGGGCGGGTTCTACACCTCCATTGTCTCATACCTTCACTCCCTGCCTCTTGGGCTCTTTACCTCTCTCCTGGTGCTGGAGGGCCTGACCCCCTCTGTTCTCTTGTTCCCTTAATCCACCGCAAAGGAGGCCTCTACCCCTCCGGTGACTGGCTCCCTGCTTCCCCTCCAGGAGCACTTTGATCTGTAAATATTCCTCCTGTATAGAGTGGGGAGAAAACAGGCCCAGGGTGACCTCAGAAATATTAAAGGGACAGGGAGAGAACCCAGGTGTCCTGCCACTGCTGCCCCTCCACCACGAGGGTCCAATCCCCTTCCAGACCCAGTGAGAGAACCCAGGAGTCCTGCCTCCCAGCCCTTCGTGCACTCACTCACCCGACCTCACTCCCCTTCCAGAGCCGGGGAGAGAACCCAGGAGTCCTGGCTCCCAGCCCCCCCTGCTCTGACCCACCAGTCCCCACTCCCCTCCCAGAGCCAGGGAGAGAACCCAGGAGTCCTGGCTCCCAGCCCGCCCTGCTCTAACCCACCAGCCCCCACTGCTCTCCCGGAGAGACCCCAGGGAGGAGGCGGGACGCCAGGGTAGATGGGCCCTTGGTTGGGAGCTCTGGCAGATCCCTTTCCCTGCAGGCTCGAGTCGTCCCCTGCAGGTCGCGAGGCTCCAGGGAACGCGGGGGAGGGGGAGAGGGGGACTGCACCCACCTGCTATCGTGCGCCCGAGACATGGAGAAACTGTCCCCATGCCCGCCCTGCTATCTATCCGCCTGTCCCCATCCCCATCCCGCTATCTATCCACCTGTCCCCATCCCGCCCCACTATCTATCTGCCTGTCCCCATGTACACCCCTCTATTTATCCACCTGTCGCCATCACATCCCACCATCTATCCACTTGTCCCCATGCCTGCCCCGCTATCTATCTGCCTGTCCTCATCCCGCCCCGCTATCTATCCACCTGTCCCCATCCCGCCCCACTATCTATCCGCCTGTCCCCATATCCACCCCGCTATTTATCCGCCTGTTCCCATCCAGCCCCACTATCTATCCGCCTGTCCCCATGTCCGTCCCGTTCTCTATCCGCCTGTCCCCATCCCGCCCCACTATCTATCCGCCTGTCCACCCCACTATCTATCCGCCTGTCCCCATCCCGCCCCACTATCTATCCGCCTGTCCCCATATCCACCCCGCTATTTATCCGCCTGTTCCCATCCAGCCCCACTATCTATCTGCCTGTCCCCATGTCTGCCCCGCTATCTATCCGTCTGTTCCCATCCTGCCCCGCTATCTATCCATCTGTCCCCATACCCACCCCGCTCTCTCTGGCCCCACGCCCACCCTGCTATTTATCCATCTGTCCCAATGCCCATCCCGCTATCTATCCGCCTGTCCAGGGCCGGCTCCAGGCACCAGCTTACCAGGCAGGTGCTTGGGGCGGCCACTCCGGAGAGGGGCGGCACGTCCAGCTGTTCGGCGGCAATTCGGCGGAGGGGCCCTGACTCCCGCTCGGAGCGAAGGACCTCCCGCCGCATTGCCGCTGCAGATCACGATCGCGGTAGTTTTTTTTTTTTTTGGCTGCTTGGGGCGGCCAAAACCCTGGAGCCAGCCCTGCGCCTGTCCCCATGCCCACCCCGCTATCTGTCTGTCCCCATGCTCACCCCGCTATGGAGCTGTTTTCCCCGCCCCGCTCCCCCCCCCCAGGTTTGCAGGCCTTCATCCCCAGCAAGGTACATAAAGTTCTTAATAAGTGACTGATTCACGGCCAAGCACTACCCGCGGGTCACTGAGCTCGGAAAATGGGGCCGGGGGCCAGTTCCCTGCCCCTTCAGTCCCACATCAGCCCAAGGTGGGGCAGGGACACCCCAACATCCCACTTACAATGCATGGACAAGACAGCAGGGGGCGCTCTCCCCTGGCAGGCGGGGCTGGCCCCAGGGCGGTGCTAGGGGGTGCTGTGGGGCAGGGAACGGGGCGGGGGGGCTCAGCAGGGGGCGCTCTCCCCTGGTAGGCGGGGCTGGCCCCAGGGCGGCGCTAGGGGGTGCTGTGGGGCAGGAAGCACAGGGGGTGGGGTTCATTGTGGGGGCAGGTTTCAACCAATAACGATAAAGAAGCATCATTTGTAAATTCTGGGTCGCTTGAATTTTTATTTTTATTTTTAACTTTTTTTAAAAAATAATCTCCTCGTCTCTTTGCGTCGCTTGCTTTATTATATCTTTGTTCCTTCTATTTTAATAAAGTTTCTGTGACTTTAAAATAAACGTAACATCTTGTTTGGCGGGGGCGGGGGCGGGGGCGGGGGGGCGGAATAAAAACGCAACAGAATAATAATCAGTTCTGACTCCCAGCACGCACACACACCCTCCCCTCCCAGAGCCGGGGAGAGAACCCAGGAGTCCTGGCTCCCAGCCCCCCTGCTCTAACCCACCAGCCCCCACTCCCCTCCCAGAGCCGGGGGGAGAACCCAGGAGTCCTGGCTCCCAGCCCCCCTGCTCTAAACCACCAGCCCCCACTCCCCTCCCCAGAGCCGGGGGGAGAACCCAGGAGTACTGTCTCTCAACCCCCCCAGTAACCACTGGACCCAACTCCCCTCCCCTCCCAGAGCCAGAATCCCAGCTAGTTACCCCATGTTGTAAGAGCCCATTTTACTGCACCTAGGGGAGGAGTTAACCCAATATGTGGGTCGGGGGTGATACTATGTGCTCAGCACCCCTCGGGGTGGGGGCGGGCCGGGTTTTTTTCCCATCACTCCCAGCTAAATTGGAGGCCCCATCAGCCGGTACCAGAGAGTCAGGGGCTGCTGCTTTTCAAGGGACAGGCAGAGAGTCAGTCTCAATTGGGGGATAAGAGTCTACTTAGTGTGGGAGGCTGTTTTCTGGGGCTGGCGGAGAGGCATGGTGGCATTGGGGGGTAGGGTTGGTTCTTGGGGTTACGGTGAGGGAGGAGCATTGGGGGTAGGTTTGTTTGTTGGGGTTACAATGTGGGCAGAGCATTGTGGGGTAGGGTTGGATATTGGGGTTACGGTGAGGTCAGAGCATGGTGGGGAGGGTTGGTTGTTAGAGTTACGGTGAGGGCAGAGCGCTGGGGGTAGGGTTGGCTGATGGGGTTACGGTGACGGCAGAGCATTGGGGGTAGGGTGGGGTGTTGGGGTTACGGTGAGGGCAGAGCATTGGGGGTAGGGTGGGGTGTTGGGGTTACGGTGAGGGCAGAGCATTGGGGGGCAGGGTTGGATGTTGGGGTTACGGTGAGGGCAGAGCATTGGGGGGTAGGGTTGGGATTTGGGGTTACGGTGAGGGCAGAGCGCTGGGGGTAGGGTTGGCTGATGGGGTTACGGTTGGTTGATGGGGTTACGGTGACGGCAGAGCATTGGGGATAAGGTGGGGTGTTAGGGTTACAGTGAGGGCGGAGCATTGGGGGTAGGGTGGGGTGTTAGGGTTACAGTGAGGGCGAAGCATTGGGCATAGGGTTGGGTGTTGGGGTTACGGTGAGGGCAGGGAATTGGGGGGTAGGGTTGGTTTTTAGGGTTACGGTGGGGGCATACCATTGGAGGCTAGGGTTGGGGGATAGGGTTACGGCGAGTGCAGAATATTGGTGGCTAGGGTTGGTTGTTAGGGTTATGGTGAGGGAAGAGCATTGGGGGATACGGTTGGTTTTTAGGGTTACGGTGAGGGCACAGCATTGGAGGGTAGGGTTGGCCGTTGCGGTTACGGCAAGGGCAGAGTATTGGGGGGTAGGGCTGGTTGTTGGGGTTACAATGTGGGCAGAGCAGTGGGGGGTAGGGTTGGCTGTTGGCATTACGGTGAGGGCAGAGCATTGGGGGGTGGAGTTGGCTGTTGGGGTTCCAGTCGGGGTAGAGCATTGGAGGGTGGGGTTGGGGATGGGGTTATGGTGAAGGCAGAGCATTGGGAGTAGGGTTGGTTGTTGGGGTTATGGTGAGTGCAGAGTATTGGGGAGTACAGTTGGTTGTTGGGGTTATGGTGAGGGCACAGCATTGGTGGGTAGGGTTGGGTGTTAGGGTTACGGTGGTGGCAGAGCATTGGGGGATACGGTTGGTTGTAAGGCTTCAGGTGGGGGCAGAGCATTGGGGAGTAGGGTTCATCATTGGGGTTACAGCAAGGGCAGAGTATTGGGTGGTAGGGTTGGTTGTTGGGGTTACATAGAGGGCAGAGCATTGGGGAGTAAGGTTTGCTATTAGGGTTACGGTGGTGACAGAGCATGGGGGGAAGGGTTCGTTGTTGGGGTTACGGTGAGGGCAGAGCATTCTGGCGTAGGGTTGGTTGTTGGGGTTATGCCGAGGGTAGAGCATTGGGGCGTACGGTTGGCTTCTGAGGTTATGGTGAGGGCGGAGCACTGGGAGATAGGGTGGGATGTTAGGGTTACAGTGAGGGCGGAGCATTGGGCATAGGGTTGGTTGTTGGGGTTACGGTGAGGACAGACCATTGGTGGGTAGGGTTGGTTTTTAGGTGATGGTGATGGTAGAGCATTGGGGGATACGGTTGGTTGTTAGGGTTCCAGTGGCGGCAGAGCATTGGAGGGTAGGGTTGGGGGTGGGGTTATGGTGAGGGCAGAGTATTGGGGAGTGTGACGAAGTGGGGGGTTTTCTTGTTTTCTGTAGAGTTTCAATGGTTTGCATGCGGAGGGGGTGGGACTCGGTTTCCCTGGGTGCTACTGGTTTAACGAGGTGAGGGGACAGGGAGTGTGTTTTACAGAGGACCGTAGAGAGGACGTGGGGACCCAGCCGATGGCCGGGAGGATGGATACCCCAGCGACCGGTGACCTGGTGACCCGGAGGCCCAGCTCAGGAGACGCAACCGGTTCTGGCCAGTGGGTGGACAATGGGCTGCAGAGTGAGGACCCAGTGACCTAACCAGCCGGTTCCAGCCAGAGGACAGAAGTGAGGAGAGAAGGCCCCGGTTTACGACCCTGTTTACCTGGAGAGAAGACAATGGACAGAGGCGGGGCCTGGGGCCGGTGATCTCAGATGCCCAGCTGGGAGCAAAGGGGGGCTCTGAGCTGGAGAGGGGGAGCAGGCAGAGCCCACCTGGATGCAGAGAGACTGGGGTGTGCTGGGCTGAGGGAGGCCAGGCCTGAGGCCCTGAGAGTTTCCTGTGCTGTGTTCAACTCTCAATAAACCCTCCTGTTTTATGCTGGCTGAGAGTCACTCTGATCCAGAGAACAGGGTGGCATCAACCCCTTTGGGGGTGGAGGCCC